TAGAGAGAATAGTGCAACAATGAATGAATGGAAACCCAAAATCTCTGTAAATGTTTATGAAAATTAATAAAATATAATTATAGAAAAAAAAGCATATAAGTAGACATTTGAGGCACAGCTTTTGGTACTTCCTTGAGTAGAGCAAAAAAAAAGTGAATAAAATTAAAGACACATGGACTAATATCATGACCTTAGAATCCACAACTCTGAGACCAGAAGAACCAGCTGGTGCCAGGCTACAACTGCTGACCACTCTAAAAGAGACCACAGTAGGAAGTCCTGGATACATTGAGAGGAAAATGTGGACAAAACTCTAAAAAATAAAAACAAACCAGACCATAGAATCTGATAGAAACGGGTGGACTCCCCAAGGCTATGACCTTTAATCACTTTCTAAGCCACCCCTCACAGTTCAACTTTCAAATAGTCCACTGCTTTTGAGATGATCCTGACTCATAGCAGTCTTCCATCATGTTTCCAAAGCCTAAATCGTTACAGGAGGAGACTGCCCATTTGTCTCTGTTGGAGCAACTTGTAGGTTCAAACTACTAACCTTTTAGTTAGCAGGGCAGAAAGTCGTGTGCTACATCCCCAGAGCTCCTGACCCTAACACTTGAGAACAACCGTTTGAACAACCAAACATAAACAATTAATGTTTTTCCAAGGATAGAATTCAGAAGGCAGTAAGTAAGGGATAATAAAGAATAATGAATGGAAATGGTAAACAGAGAGGAAGACAGAAATGACACTGTTTTATTGTGGGGATTACAATCAATGAATTGTTTCAAAAAGTGTGTATGAATGGAAAATGAATTCGCTATCTAAACTTTCACACAAATAACTATAAAATGTAACCAGAAATATCTATTACATTTTTTTAAAATAGTAAGGGAAAAATATGAAAAAGCATTTAAAAATGTTTGAATACACCATTTACAAAACTTCCCCTTTGTGCACTTGCTGATATAAGAAACACCACTGACAGGAAGCATTATCCACTAAATAGTGGTTCCATAGGACTGCGGTGGCTTAGTGGGTAAAGAGTTGAACTGCCATCTCAAAAGCAAGTGGTTTGAATCCACCAGCTTCTTCGGTGAGAAAGATGGGAAATCTCTTTCTCTGTGATTTACAGCCTTGGAAACCCACTGGAAGGTTAGTTATGATTTGGTCCTGACTAGTTATTACCAGTAAACTCAAACTCATTGAGTAGGGATGGCATAGACTGTAAATCTCACAGATTGCCCAACTCAATGACAATGAGAGTGGTTCCATGCATCGCCGCCTAGTTGCCTTGACCGCATCATCTGCCAAAAGAGAACCTTATCCTGGACCCAGCAGTTCCCTTACTGCAATTTCCTGGACTGTTCATATCTTAGCCCCCCAACTCCCACCCCTAACTACAGTCACAAGTCTCATGAGACTTACTGGGCTCCTGGGAGCTGTAAGATCCTTAAGGCCCCTCGACACACACCCTGAGTCCCAGGTCCATTGCGGGGCTCAGGGGCTGGGCAGGACATGGTAAGAGTGAGCATGGAACAGGTCCTATGGAGGAGAGAGTAGACTCTTAGGCCAGATGCTTAGGACATGACTAGGTGAAAGGGACACTTCTGTCCTCACCTGCCCTCTCCTTCTGTGACCTGCAGGTACAGCTCTGAGGCAGCTCTTGGATCAGACACTTCCACTTCACTGGCATTTTCTACTACCCTGGAGGAAGGAGAAGCTGAGCTCAGCTCCTAAGATATAGAGCTCTGTGAAGCCCCCAGAATCTGTGCACAGAGAGACTGTGGAGACCCCAGAGCCTACAAGAATCATCTCAAAGGCTCCACACTTGGGATCACCCTAAGACCTCTCATCTTCACAATCTTCTTTTTTCTCCTCCCATCTAGTCACTGAGGGACAGGACAGCCAAGATCTCCCTTTTACAAATAAACTAGGATCCAGCATCACCCAACATGATAATTACTGAACTCCTGGGAATGGAGGTAGAACTGAACAGATGTAAGTGAAGGAAGAGGAGGAGTGAGGGAGGGTAGCGTAGGAGGAGGTCCTGCACTTGATCAAGGCCTTGAAAACAGAACCACAGTTCAGAGCCACCCTTCCCTGCGGTGGCAGGAACAGGAGATTACTAGAGCATGACTGAAGGGATGTCGGCATCCCTGCCTTGAGACAAGTCCCTTGGTCCCGGGGCAGGACACTCACAAACCCAGAGGAGGCACGTCCAGCACTGACATGTTCTCTGAACCTGGAGAGAGTAGGTCTCGAGCTTTCCCACTGGAGCTGAGCTGGGAAAACACAGGTATGACAATTGTTACAAGCCCAACCTTTTCCAGGCCTCTAGTTCATGTGATTCCTTCCTTCCATGGGACCCTGGGGATCAGACAAGATCAAGATAAAACCCACTGCCATCAGGTCACTTCTACTCCAATTGGTTTCCAGGCAGTAAACCTCAAGGGGAACAGTCTTATCTTTCTTCCATGGAGAGACTGGTGGATTTACACTGCCGACCTTTTGATTAGCAACCCAACAAGTAACACACTCTGCCACTAGGGCTCTTTGTGGTTCAGATGGGTAACCAAGAATTCATCCACTTCAGAGCAAAAATGAAGCCCCAAAGAGGCAAGTCCCCCAAAGTAAGTAGCAGAGTGGGACTACATTCAAGTTATTCTGTCTCTCTCTGAGTCTCAGGCTTTTTCTGCAGTCACTCCAGGCTTAAAACCCCTGGCCCATGCTCTCCTTTCCCCCAGAGTTCTCACCTGCACCAGGCTCAAAGTGCTGAGCACAGGCTCAGAGCCCTTGAGGGACATGGCTTCCTCAAACAGCTCCTGCAACAGCTAAAAGGGAGAGGAGAATTCAGTGGGGATAAAGAATTAACCCTTGCTTTAAAATTCTCTCAGCTGAAGTCCATGCTCTGCCCTGTGCTGGGTGCTGGGAGCATGGTGCTTAGTTAGGATCCAGACGGCCCTTGTGGTTCACAGGAAGCCAAGTAAGTGAACCCACATTTTTAGTGGAAACTGCTGTTTGCTCCAGCAGGGTCAGAGGTACATTTTGCTGACAAGGCAAAATTGTCAAATGTATTGTTACAACTATGAAAAATAACTGATCATTAAATATCCCTTAATAGTTAATAAGGAGCCCTCATTACACAATATATTTAAGCACTGGGCTCCTAAAGGAAAGGCTTTCAGTAAAAAATCCACCAGGAGTTCCACAGGACAGAGAGGAGGTTGTTTCTACACAGAGTTACAGCTTTGGAGAAGTTCTTCTGTCCTAGAGGGTTGATAGAGGTTGGAAACAACTCAAGTCAATGTCAGCGGGTTTAAGTGTTTTTGGTTTTCTTTTTCTTTATTCCCAACCCCTCCCTGACTCTCACTCCGCTTACTGACTCCAACCTCTTACCTGCTCAAACTTCCCAATAACTGCATCTATTGCCCCTGACAAAACAATTTTACATGGGCCACAGGACATAGGGGATGCCCCAGGATGGCGCATCTAGTCCAGCTGGGGAAGAGAGAGAAAGGTTTCTGAGGTGTCTTGCAAGAGACAACACTGAATTGAGCCCAGCGGTTTCATAGTAGCTCTTTCGAATCTCACCTGTGGCACAAGCCGAGGCGCCTCTGTTTCCCAGCCCCGGAGCAGCAGGGTCACACTGTATCCATGCCTCACGGAGCCCAGTGTGCCCTGGACCCGTGCCAGCAGCTCTTGCTCCGCCTCCTGCAGGGAAAGCCAGGCACATTCTCCCGACTCTGGTGCCCCTACCCCATCTTGCCTAAGGCTGTCAGGACACCAGTATCAAAGTGGCTGAGGGTTCGTAGCCACGCTCTTCCTGCCATCTCATTGCCCTACCTGAGCAGCATTGGGACCCAGGACTCTGTCAAAAGTGAGGCACCGTTCCTGTATAAAAGGACAGGCTCAGTGGTGTCGCCTTCATCCTCCCCCACACACATCCTCACCTCACCCTCACCCGATCTTGTCTCTACCTGAATCTCCAAGGTACCTGACTGAAGCAGGTGAAGTTTCGTGGGTTCCTCCAGAAGAAGTGGGGGGCAACAGGTCTCCTCGGAGCCTGAGACGGGAATTTCTTGTCACCTCTTATGAGGAAAAGTGAAGAACCAGGACTCCCAAGTTCTGCTCTCAAGCTCTGCCTCAGTTTCCCAGTCTAAGTTGTTCTAGTTCTCCCCTCTCCCGGCAGGCTTTCTCAGGATGTAATGCGTAATTAGAATTGGGGTACTTCTCACCTGATCCCCACTCTAGCTCCACTTTGACTACCACGGTCAGCATTGCCTGTGAGTTGAGAAAGACAGTGAGTTGCCAGGAGAGCAGAGCTGCCCTTCCTCTGACCAGCTCCCCACCCTCCATGGTTACCAAGTCTCTCAGATTCTCCTCAATAATTCATGCCCCTTTTTTACAGGGCTTTGGAAGTGGCCTCTGGATAATAACTTAACACGGGCATTATCAATCCTTTTCTGTTTTTTCTTTCCCATATGAAACATTGCAGACATAAATAACAGTAGAGAGCACAGTATAATGAACCTCTAAGTACTCAAATTTAGCAATGATCAACTTATGGACAGCCTTCTATTTCCCCTGGCATACCCCAAGTTATTTTTTTCATAAGTTAGAAAAATCTTTTATATTGGTTTGCCAACCCAAATCATTTTTAAGTATCAGGCATCCTGTTATTCAGTTCTTAAGTATTTCAGTATGTGTCTCTAAAAGACAAGTAATCTTTTTTTAGTAACAGCTTTATTAATAAAAATAAAACTAACATAGCATAAAACTCACCCATTTAAATTAAACATTCAATGCTTTTTATTAACACATGTGAAAATTATTACAATTTTAGAACATTTAATCACTTTATAAATAAAATCTGTACCCAAGAGCTATCACCCCAGATCTCCCCTATCTCTAAACAACCACTAATCTACTACTCTCTGTGTCTGTGGATCTGACTGTACTGTACATTTCATAAAAACAAAGCCATATACTATGTGGTCTTTCCCGGTGGGCTTCTTAGCACAATGTTTTCAAATTCCATCCATGTTATAGCATGTATCAATACTTCATTATTTTATGAAGTTACATAATATTCCATTGTATGGATATACAATACTTTATTCATCATTCACCAGTTAATGGATATTTTAGTTATTATTGTAAATAGAAGTGCTATGCACATTTGTGTATAAATATTTGTTTAATTAACTTTTTAAGTTAAGGAGAGTACCAAGGGGTGAAATCATTGGGTCATATGCTTAGTGGTGAAATCCATATGTCTAGTCTGCATTTATGTTTCTTATAAAAGATATTTGCAACGAATAAATAATTAATTGTACAGAATTCTATCATTCTATCTCCAGTCTCATTTGTGTCACCAAGTCCATATTTTCCGACTACTGATCCTTCTCTGTTCCCAACTTTTACATTCCAGTCACCCATTATTATTAATGCATCTTGATTGCATGGTTGGTTCGTTTCTGACTGCAAAAGTTGGTACAAATCATCTATATCCTCCTCTTTGACTCTATGGTGCTGGAGAAGAATATTGAACATATAATGGACCACCAGGAGAATAGATCTTTCTTGGAGAAGGTGAAACCAAGTTTCTCCTTGGAGGCAAGGATTTTGAAGCTCTGTCTCACATACTTTGGGCACACGACCAGTCATTGTAGAAGGACATCGTACTCAGAAAGGTGGAGGGACAGTGCAGGAAAGGCAGACACCAGATGAGATGGATTGACACAGTAACTGGGACAATAGGATTACGTGTGCCAAAGTCAGTGAGACTGGCTCAGGATAGGGCAGGGTTCAGAACAATAGTATATAGGGTTGCTATGAGTCACAATGACGCTATGGCATATAACAACAGCATGTTTAGTGGTAAAGAATTGTGCTGCCCAACCCAAAGGCATGCAGTCAGAATCTACCAGCTATTCCACAGGAGAAAAATAGGGGTCTCCTTCCCTGCATTTTACTGCCTCTAAAAACCCACTGGAGGGTTAGCGATTAATTGGTTCTGACTCAACAGTACATACCAACAACATGGTAATTTTGTATTTCACATTTTGATAACACATCAAACTGTTCTCCACCAAAGCTGTACCACTTCTCATGTCCATGAGCAATGTATGGGAATTCCACTATTTCTATACCTTCACAACATTCATTATTTTGTGAGGTGCTATTGAGTCTACTACATATTACCTTAACCCTATGAACAATAGATGGAAACTTTATCCTTTCTTCCCCATCCACAATCCTCACATCTCCACTGTGTTCAAGTCCATTGCTGCAGTCATTGTATTAATCCAGCTTGTTCAGGGTCTTCCCTCTGAGGCTTTTCACTGACCCCTTACTTTCCCAGCATGATGCCTTTTTCTACGGACTGTCCCTCCTGATAACATACCCAAAGTATAAGAGGCAAAGTCTCAAAATCCTTGCCCGCAGAGAGCACCCTGGTTGCACTTCCTCCAAAAAAGATTTTGTTTTTTCATTCTTTTGACAGTCCATGGTGATATAATGAATCGTCTTCAGCAACATCATAATTCAAAGGCATCAATTCTTCTTTGTGTTTTGTCATTCACTGTACTGTTTTCATATGCATACAGAATCACTGAAAATACTTGAGTCAGAAGCACCATAGTCATTTAAACTGATACCATTGCTCTTTAGTACCTTAAAGAGATTCTTGACAGCAGATTTTCCCAGTGCATTTCTTTTGAATTCTTGACTGATGCTTCATATGAGTGTTGATTGTGGATCCAAGTAAATGAGATCCTTGAATACATCAATCTTTTCTCCATCTTTCAAAAGTTACCATAGACTGATTTTCTTCAGTTCTTCAAGTTTTTTCTTCAGTGCTTCCAGTTTTCTTCAGTCTCTATAAGCAAGGTTGTGTCATCTACATACCAGAGATTGTTGATACATCTTCCTCTAATCATGATGACACATTCTTCTTCCAATAGTCTAGCATCTCAAATTATTTGCTTAGCATACATATTGAATAAGCATGGAGACACACACTTTTCCTGAATTTTAAACAGTAGAGTGCCTCCATGTTCTAATCAAACAACTAATTCTTGGTTTATATACAGATTTCTTCCAGAACTTGTATTCTGGAATCTCTACTCTTCTCAATGTTATTCATCATTTGTTAGAATCCACATAGGCAAATGCTTTTGTATAGGTAATAAAACACAAATGACTATCTTCCTGCTATTCTTTGTTTTGGTCCAGAGTCCATGTGAAATCAGCAGTGATATTCATGTTCTCTGTCCTTTCCTGAATCCAGCTTCAATTTCTGGCAAGTCTCTGTTGATATACTTATTCCAGTAATTTTAAAGTAATGTCCAGCAAGATTTTATCCATTGCATATGACATTAATGATATTGTTCAATAATTTCTGTACTCTGATCACTTTTTTTTTTCATTTGGAATGGGAACAAATATGGACCTCTTCTAGTCAGTTGATCAGGTAGCTCTCTTTCTTAGCATAAACTAGTGAGCATGTCCAGGGCTGAATCTGTTTGTGGAAACACCTCAACTGATATTCTACCTATTCCTGATGGCTTATTTTTTGCCAGTGCACTCTGGTGGCATAATCCTCTGGGTGTTGCACTGCTAACCCAAAAGTAGTGTCACTACCAGCTCCATGGGAGAAAAATTAGTAGTCTCCTTTCATGTGATTTAAACCTTCCAAAAACCTGCTGAAGGGTCAGCTACGAGTTAATTCCCCCTCAACAGCAATATTTCTTTTTTAACAGAAAACTTTTACTGGTTTGTATTCAGTAATTCATTTACACTGTACCCTGTGTTTTATACCATTCTTCATTTACATTGTATTTTATGTAATCATGCATGTATACCATATCACACTGTCTTTGAGTCCCAATTGAATCTTTCATATTCCTCCACATTTACTCCATCAACTATTTAAACTTTGCTATCTCAACCTTATGCAGATGACACAACCTTGCTTGCTGAAACTGAGGAGGACCTCATGCACTTGCTGCGAAGGGTCAAGGACTGCAGCCTTCAGTATGGACTAAGGCTCAACGTCAAGAAGACAAAGATTCTCGCCACTGGACCAATTGGCAGCTTCAAGATGGATGATGAAGAGATTGAGAGTGTTCACAGCTTCACTTTGCTCGGCTCCACAGTTAACACTCTTGGTACCAGCAGTCAGGAAATCAAAAAGCGTATCGCGATGGGAAAGTCTGCCGTTAGGGACCTCTCAAACGTACTCAGGAGCAACAGTGTCTCTCTGGAGACTAAGGTGCGCCTGATACAGGTCATGGTATTTGCAATCGCTTGTTATGCATCAGAGAGTTGGACAATGACTAGGGAGGACAGAAGGAGAGTGGATGCTTTTGAGCTGTGGTGCTGGAGAAGGGTACTGAATGTACCCTGGACTGCCAGGAAAACAAACAGATTCATCTTGGAGAGGATTAAACCAAGCTGCTCCTTGGAGGCAAGGATTCTGGGGCTTCATCTGACATACTTTGGACATGTTGCCAGGAGGGACGGGTCCTTGGAGAGGGACGTCATGCTTGGGAGGGTGGAGGGACAGCGCAGGAGGGGAAGACCCTCTATGAGATGGATTGATTCGGTGACTGGGGTAATAGGGATGGGTGTGTCAGAGGCGGTGCGGTTGGCGCAGGATAGAGCAGGGTTTAGAGCTGTTGTGCATAGGGTCTCTATGAGTCGGAAACGACTCGATGGCACATAACAACAACAATCTCAACCTTTGTCTTTTTTATGTCCCTTCCTCTCCCCTGATTCCCTCTTAGACATTCACACACATTTAGCTAGCTGTCCTTCCTTCTTCACAATAATGGTTTTCCAGAGTATTTGTCCTTGTTTGACTGAGACAGTTCAGTCAGCATAATGCCCGATAGACTCTCCATGTTATATAGTATTTTATTAAATCAGTGTTTTTTTAATGCTGCATAGTATTCCATTGTGTGAATGTACCACAATTTCTTAATCCATTCATTTGTTGATGGGTATCTGGGCTGTTTCCATTTTCTTGCTATTGTGAATAATGCTACTATGAACATAGGTGTATTTTAATTCATTTTTTGCCAATGCCTTCAGTACAACTTTAACTTCTTCCTTCAGTATTATTTGTTCTTTTTTTAAAAAAAAATTTAATTGTTGTTTTAACAAAAGTTGACAGAAAAGTTAGATTTTCATTCATTCATTCTTTCATTGTTGCACATTTTAACCCTTCTCTCTCCCTTACCGCTCCCCAAGTTGACTTTTTCCTTTTCATTAGT